AAGACCCTATCTCAAAATAATTTTTTTTTTTTTTTAGGAAAAAAGGCTGGAGATGTATGTATCTCAATGGAAGAGCTCTTACCTAGCATATCCAAGGCCCTAGGTCCCATTCCCAATACTATTTTAAAAAAGAAAATGATGGAGGGGATTTGGGTGAAAAGGAAATAGATTATTTCATTGCAAAAAGTAAGTATATTTACTAGTGGTAATATGTAAAAAGGAGATTTTAAAAATATACTATATACCTATGTCACTGATTTTATTTTTTAAACTTCAGAATTGTCTATTGCTGGTAAAAGGCCTTCTCAAATCCCTTTTTGAAACAATGCAGGTTTCAAATAAATGGTGAACTCCACACCAACATAAGATGTAGTCTGTATTCCCTTCCCTTTCTGTTTTCTTGGGTCCAGATGCTTGAAATCCTTCTGCTTCCCCCATCTCTGAGGACACATAGTGCTTTCAGATGTCTCATCCTGTGACTTCCACTTATCCCCTGGAAAGGCCCCTGGCTGCACACAAGTCTACCCTATCCCTAGTTTAGAGAGGAAGGAGGGCCCCTCACTGAAGATTTTACAAAGCACCTAGAAAGAGGTGCTCCACCCAGTCCAGTCCAGCATCCCACCTCATTCCCAGCTCTATGGATGTGAAGCTTGTGGGGAACCTGAATGCTTTCTTGTCTGATCTTTTCTTTGAACTTAACCATTAGAAGCACAGAACTCATAAAACATCTGGGCTTCCAGGGACTTTGCTGTTCATCTGCTCCAACCCCTGTAATTTACATTCTGCCAGGAATCCAAGGTCACAGAGAGTGTTTGTGATTCACACACACTCAGTCACAGTAGGTAGGAATACAAAGCTCCTAGCTTCCAGAACAGCCTGGGCCACCAAGCCCTGGCCTCTTTCTGGTCTTGCCCCCATCAGGTCTGGAGCCCCTCACTCAGGAAGGCTGACCAATCCATTTCAAGCCCCACCTACCGTACAACTACACTTACCTTTGGCTAGCTCTCATTCTACTTAAGAGAGTAGAATAAGGATTGCAGCTTCCCATACTCACTGAGAACTCACTATGTGCCAGGTATTGTGCTAAAGCCCTGTGCAGGAACTACCAACTCATTAAACTTAATGCTCCCAAAACTTTGATTTGAATAAAATTATTATTTTTACTCATACATGAGGCAACGAGGCCCATACAGTTAACAACTTACTCAGGTTACATGCAGAGAATGTGTCTGATTGGCCTTAACCTCTAGGTCAAACTGCCTGTTCATACATGAGACACATGCAACAAAATGCAAGGAACGTTTATCAACATTTACTGAGCTAGATACTACCAAGGTAGGGGGCTCGTGAATCCAACCTCACTGAGGAGGAGGAGTGTGAGGAATTTGTGCACTTTTGGAGTATTGGGAGAGGCTTCTTAAACAGGCATCTGAGAGAGGTTTTGAAGGATGTACAATGCTGGGAAAGAGGTGTCCCAAGAAGAGCTGAGGAGGGGGCTGCAGGAGTAAAAGCCTGGCGGCAGGAGCAGGAAGCAGTAGGCAACAATGGAAAATCAGAGGTTATACAATGGAAGACTTTGACAGTAAAGAGATTTGAGGAGTCACTGAAGTCTTGGAGCAGAAGAGTAGCCCAAGTAAAAGTTATTAAAAGGGTTGACCAGTGGGCAGGATGGTGCCTGCAAGAGTGCCTGGCTGGGCTGGGTGCTGGTGGCTCATGCCTGTAATCCTAGCAATTTAGGAGGCAGAGATCAGGAGGATAGTGGTTTGAAGCCAGCCTGAGCAAATAATTCTGTGAGACACTATCTTGAAAACCCCTTCACAAAAAAAGGGTTGGTGGAGTGGCTCAAGGTGAAGGCCCTGAGTTCAAGACCCAGCACCGCTTAAAAAAAGAAGACTGCCTGGTTGGGATGCTATGAGCCAGAGCTATCAGTTTCCCCATGGTCTTGGCATTGACGAAGCAGCACAGCCGGGCACCAGAACTGAGTTCCTAGGGCATTTGCTAAAGCTCACAGCCTATGGAATTCAGTTCTCAGAGCCAGGTGGCCAACATTCTCTCAATCTGAACACAGCCTTCCCATACTGTCTTCTGTGAAGTTTTCCCCATTCTCAAAACGAGCAAGTTGAGGACCAGGATGGAACCTAGGATCTCAAGATACTTCCTATGGCGAGGAGGTTGAGAGAAGAGACTGAGCTTGGAGCTGAAAATGGGGGCCCATAACTAGGGAAATGGACAAGAGCTCCCTAAATTCCATCAGGAACTAGAATAGGGCATGGACTGCATCCTCTAGAGGCTGGATATTGCTGTCAGTCCTGTCATGTCTCACTCAGATGTGTTCCTAGTGGGGCCGATATGGGGCTGGAAGGGTGATGGTCTGAGAAAGAGACAAGAGCATCTCTCTGCAGACTGAAGGGCTTCCTGAGTCAAAGGGGATCCCCAACATAAGAGCTCAGGAGTGCCAGCTCCCTGAAAACTCTCCCACTTGAATGAAACTCTAAGTGTTGGGGACAGCTGAGTGGAAGAGAAAGAGTTCTCTGAAACACACTTTCATTTTCTGGAGAGTTAATTGGAGGGCTGAGTGCTGTCTTCACTCCGGGCCAGAGCTGCATCCTATTCCTGTAGGAAAAACCAAGCTGCAGTCTCAGGTCACCCCACCCCCAGACCTGTGGAATCCAGAGAAGGAGGCAGCACTTACCCATCACACTTCCTTTCTGATGCTTCTGGGGCTGGATCTGCAATAATGCTCTGTGTGGAGCTCCTTAAATAGGCCCCCACCCACCCCGGCGCCCCCGCCCCCGCCCCCGCCCATGCTTGCTCTTCTGAGAAAGGAGGAAGGTGTGGGAGGGCCAGGCACCCTGCCCGGGAGAGCCCTTTCTGACCACAAGCCAGAGCGGGACCCCTCCCCCATTCTTCCCAGTGTCCCCTCTTCCTCATCTCAGTGACTGTGCCCCTCTCAGACCCCTGAAGACCAGCCCCCTAAAGACCATCCCCCTGGTTCTTTCTCTACTCTTAATGTCTGAAACATCTGTCCTGATGCTGAATTCAAATCCAATTCTTCATTCTGAGGCAAGACAGTGGGGGATTGATGTGCCATGGGAGTTCAGCACAGGCTCCCAGCTTGTCAGCCCAGAAGCCTGCACTGGCGCCAAAGCTGCAAAAGTCATTCAAGGGAATGTGGGACAGAAGGGAGCACTCCACCTCAAACCCCTGGTGTGGATTCAAGTAGCACTAAAAGGGCAGGTGGAGTCTCTCCCATCTTGGGGGCACCAGAAAAATAAGGTCCAGGCAGCTGTGGAATTCCCAGCAGAGCAGGGGTTCTCTGGAGTCCCTCCCTTACAATTTGTGTCTGTGGTGGTTCTTCTCAGCCCACCTTCTGTCCTCAGACTCCAGAACCTGACCATTGCTGCAAGAGTTGGGTCTTCCCAGAGTTTGAGCTGGCAATAGAGGGGCTCCCCCTCCCGTCCCGTCCCCTCACTTCTTTCCCATCATCCTTCCCTGAAAGCTCAGGAAGTTCTTCCTGACACCCTGATATACTGGCTGTCATTCAAGAAACAGGAGACGGAGAAAGAGGATAGCAGAGTCTTAGGAATGGCTGAAGGGGTCTTGAGCCAGAAGTAGGGGCAGTTTTACTGAGGAAACATGAAAGTTCCGGGAATGGGAGTAGTAAGTACAGAAGAGTCATCAGTATTGTGCAATGGACAGGGGAGGAGGAGGAAAGGAGACCAGAGGGGAGGGCTGGCAGAGGCCTGGAGCTGATGGGGGAGACCATCAGCCCCTTCCCAGGAGCCTGCCTGGCCAGAGTTCAAAGTGAATGTTACCCACCCCTCATTAACCCCAGCAGCGCCACGCTGGCAGTAGCAGTGCTTATATGGGAGAAGCGATGCCAAATGGGTCCCTCCCCTCCTCCCTCCCCTCCCTCAGCAGCCAAGGACCTGTTCCCAGGAAACCCAAAGACCCTGCTGGGGAGGAGGGAGCTTGTGGTGAGGGATACAAGTAGAAGATGGAGGAATAACCCCTTTTCTCCATATCTTGTCATTGCCTCAGTCTCTAGGAGAGAGGAGAGGTTGATGTGATTTTCCAGAAGGTAGTGACAGCTTCTGGGTCCCCCACATCCTACAAGGAAACTAGCACTGAAAGGGGGCTCATTCCTGCTGATTACGGTGGATGGGCTAATTTGCCCTTGAAGGGGACTTTTCTCCTCTTGACCCATTTTGGGGTTCCCTGGAAGGGATGGCTGTGGGCTTCCCCAGGGCAGTCCAGGGAAGCTGAGACAGCAGGAACTGAAACAGGAAGCTGAGGCCTTGCTGGGTTCTAGCATGCAGTTGTCCTGTCTAGGTTATCAGCCCCGCCAACATGGGCATGAGAGCACTGGGGGTGGAGGGGGTCTGCAGAACACCCTTGATCTGAGCTCAGGTCAATTCTCACCTGGGGCACCGGTTGCACATCCCCTTCCCAAGATCCTGTAACCCACCCGTAATCTAGGAGAAACATCGCTGCTAAGGGAATGAAAAAGGGACAGTATGAGGAAGTCAGCCCGAAAAGTTGATGGGTGACATGGCTTGAAGCTGGAACGACCACAAAGGGGAGACGCTGGGATTTGGGGAAGGTCATTGGGTCTTGCAGCAGGTGTTACCAGATCCAACCAGGGAGTGACAGAGTGTGTGGAAAGGCAGGAAAGGCACGGAGAAGCAAGGAAGAAATCTATAGGGCTTCAGGATGGAGATCATAGGGGCGAGGAAATAAAGCAGACAGGAAGACCCTACGTTCTTTCAGAGAGAAGGACCAAAAGGTTCGGGACCTCTGACGCGCAAGAACGAACAGGCGAGGATACATTCCTGGCGACTGAGACTCCACCCACTGGCGGGACCACACGCGTCACGCGTCCCTACCCGCAACAAAAATGGCCGCCACGGGAGTCAGTTCAAAGCCCTAGGACACTTGAGAATGGGCACAGAAGCCCCGCCCTGTTGTGGGCAACTTGCCCTTTTCAAAAATGGCCACCAAGGTGCTTCTGGAAGAGACCGCTCTGGGCCCCGCCTTTGATCTCGTTGGTGGGGCTGAGGGATGAGAGCTGCACCGCGCGGGACAAGTCGCCGGCGGCGCCCGACAGAGCAGGTGATTTCCCCTCCAGCCCCAGTCCAGGGCTAGGAGAGTCGCGGAGAGCGCTAACCCTGGGACCGTTCCGGTGTGTTCCCCACGGTACCCCCCCACCGGGCCCCGCCAGACCCCCATCTCTGGTTCTTGCCATGGCCTGTATCAAGGCACATTCTAGTTTGCTCAGGCCTGCCTTGTCATGTGACCACCGCCCCCCCCCCCCATGGCCGCAACCGCATCCCTGTGCTCTCCGGCCCACTATTCTGGATGCTTACGGGTGCCTCGCTAGCGGATTTAGGAAGCTTTTGCTTCAAGGGTCCGCCATCATCGCGATCCCACTTCCTGTGCTCCACCTACCTGGGTTTGTGCTCCTGCCTGACTTCAGATGGCAGGATCCCATGTTCCCCTCAATGCCCTTGGGTGCCTCTAAGGCCTGACTTGGGGATCAGGGAAAAATGGTATTTTCTAGGGCTTTCATTTATGGCTCGAGGACTCTAGGAGCAGGGCATAATTATAGGGGCTGGGAGAAGTAGTGAAGACCTCTATGCTATACCTTTTGCTGCACCCCGAGTACCCCAAGACTCCTTCCACACCGGTTCCCAAGATTCCTCTTCCCACATGGCCTGCTCTCCATCCACTGTGAGCGCCTCCCACTCCAAGCGAGCAGCATGGTACTTCTTAATCCAGTCTAACTTGTCCAGAGGGTCCGTTAAAGCATCTAGACGGTGCAGACCTGTGCCTGGCCCTTGAGCGCCCTTGAGGCAGCTGGGGGCAGTGAAGATGGGAGTAGTCAGGGTTGGCTGCAAGAGCAAGTGAGTCTTGCAGAATGGGATTTGGAGAAGCAGAAGGCAAGATGTTCTGAGCAGGGAGAATGGTGTCAGCAAAGATTCTGAAGAGGCAACACAACCGGCCAGGCAGGAAAGAATCATCACACAGATCTGGGCTAATCTATTGGCATCATGAGAGTTTGTGTGGTAGTTAACAGTAAGGCTTCTGGAGCCAGACTGCAGGTGTGTGAATCTTAATCTACTGTCTGATGCTGGGCAGTCAAGTTATTTAATCTTTCAGTGCCTCCATTTCCTTTCAGGTATAATGGGAATACTGTTAGTATCCGTATTTTGGAGTTATTGGGAGGATTAGGGAAGTTAATATATGTAAAATACTTTCAACAATGCCTGGAAAACAGTTTGTAAATGCTGTTTTTTAAATTATCATTAGAGGTATTTAAGCAGGATGACAGTCCTGTTTCATAGGCATCACTAACCCTGTGATGCCTGATTTGGAATCCCAAAGGTGTAATGGGGTTTTGTGGCTGTATCTGGAATTATGGAAATCATGAGACTGGAGAGGGCTGGCTGCTCAGGCTTCGACTTAGGAAACTGATTCAGTAGTCCAAATTCTCCCCAGCTCAAGAACTGTAGAGAAAACAGAAGGAGCCTCCGGAAGGAAGGACATGCCAAGAAAAGCTAAAGGATGAGGGAGGGTAGAATGAGAAATGTGTCAAGCTTTGAAGCCTGGGTGAAGTTTAGACAGTCTGAAAACAGGAGGAGGGATCATACAAGCCAGTACAAAAGCTCAGGGGAGAAAAACTTTTGGGTTTTTTGTTGTTGTTTGTTGTTTTTGTCAGTACTGGGGTTTGTGCTTGCTGGGCAGGCACTCTGTGCTTGAGCCATGCCACCAAGACTTGTTCTTTGAGGACAGTGAGGAGTTTCCAAGTGACAACTCCCTAGTTCCCACACCTTGGTTTGAAATCCAAAGATATCACACACATCCCTGAGAAGCTTCTTTCCTAGAAACTGGGCTTTCATGCAGCAGTCATGGGTCTTTGTCCCAGTAAAAGTGGACAGGCTACTGACAGCAGCCAGGCTTTGAAGATGGTGTAGGTTTCTGGAGTGGGCTGCCCTCTTGGTGTTAGGCAGGGTTGGGAGTCGGGGGACTCAGAGAGAGCTGCAAGATGGAATCTGGTACACTTAGACTGAATAGTTCTGCTCCTCCCTTAGGGCCTATGGCTAAGGTTTGGAAGCAGCAGGTGAGCATTTCCCTGGGGTACTGGGGTTATTCAGTCCTGCTTTCCAAAGCAAGCCCTGTGCTATCACAGCAATTCTGTGTTATCACTCGGGGGACCAGGCAACTGATCGTAGATGGTCCCAACCTACATGAAGGCTTGATTTCCCCCATTCCCAGAGTTTCCCCTGGAATGACACTGGTAACTTGGACTTAAATCTTTGTGTTTGTGTGTGTGTCTTGCTAGGGGTGAAACCCAGGGCCTTGTGCATACTAGGAAGCACTCTACTACTGAGCTACATCCCCAGCCCTAAACTTAAACCTTGATTAACACAATCAACCCAGGTGGTTCTGGGAACGTCATCCAATTGAGCTTCACTTTCTTCATCTGTGGAGAGTGACTATTTTTTGAATGCTTACTTCATGGTGGATGCTGAGTGTGCATTGGTGAATAAGCCAGGTGTGTACTCACAGCCTCCATGAAACAATATTAAGTATTGTCCAAATGATTTGTTAGCCATAGCTGTGATAAGTCCTGCTAAATAAAGAAAAGTGCAGTCTGCAATGAGAGTGTAAGATGAAGTTGACTAGACTAGTTCTAGATGGTTACGACTTGAATGTTGGCAAACGGAGAGCAAGCCAGGGTGGAGGGGGTGATCCAGGGAGGGTATGGTGCAGGATGAGGTTGGAGAGATTAGGCAGGGGTACAGGCTACAAAAAGATTCTGGGCTTATTGAAAGGGTAGTGGGAAAGCACTAATAGACTTTAAGCAGGAGAAAGTGTGTACTTTTGTAAAGATCACACAGCTAAGGTGTAAAGAATAGGTTGCTGTGAGAAAGGTGGTAGCAGAGAGATGGGTTAGGAAGCTCTTGCAGGCAAGAGATAGAGCAGAGTGGAAGTAGAGAAATAAGTACGTGTGTTGAGAGAGAATGGTCAGGGCTTAGGCTGAGTGTGTAGCTCAACAGGTAGAGTGATTGCCATCAAGCCGAGGCCCTAGGTTCAAATTCTAGTACTTTGTACAAAAAAAGAATGGTTAGGGCTTGGTGACTGGCTGAGGGAGTATTCCTGAGGCAGGCATAGTTGTGTGGCTAGAAGACAGGCATTTAGGGACAGTGGCCCTGGAAGAGTAAAAACCTTGGGAGAATGTCACTTTGGGACACATAAAGTGTGAGGTTCCTGTAAGACGTCCACATTGCATCGTATACCTATATAAGTTTGTAGCTCAGCGAGATTGGACTAGAGGATTAGACATTTGGGAATTGGGACCATAGAGTTGGTGCATAAAGATGTGGACCCAGATGAGATCTTCAGAAAGAAAGCATCACAGTGAGGAGAAAAGAGCAGCCACCTTGAGCCTGAAGAGGGCAGCAGAGAAAGGGTCAAAGGGAGCCTGGAAAGAAATAGCCATTGCGGTAGGACACCGGAAGGTGTGATGTCTCAGAAGCCATAGTTGGTGCTGCTAAAAGAGCAAATATTAGATGAAACCACAAGAAAGAACTCCCCAATTTGGTAGCTCAAAACCAAACAAGACTGGTAATTTCATATGGTTAGTAGACCAAAAACCTAAAAAATGTAACTGGTGACCTTAGCCTGAGAAGTGTTGGTAGAGGTGTTGGAAACAGAAGACAGACGGAAGGGGGAGTGGTTAGTATGGAGAATATAGGGAATGTAATTGATAGGACTTGGTGATTGGTTGGCTGCAGGGAGGGGTGAGAGAGGGCAAGTTCCAGGTTTTGCATTTGAGTGAGTGGTGTCAGCTGATGAAATAGAAGGAGATGTATACTTGGAAAGGGGGGATGTGCACAGATGGGAAGGATATGAGTTTGGGGTGGGTGGAATTTGAGGTGACTCTGAGTCTTCCAAATGACAGTATGAGCTGATATTTGGACCTATGCTCTACAGCCATTCTTTACCATGTGTGCATTCCTGACTGCCAAATATAGATGTTGGGGAGTCAAAATTATACATATGGGGTTGAAATAAATCAACAAATACTTACCTAGCACCTGCCAAGTACAGGTGTTTTTCTTAGATGCTAGGTTTACACCAGTGAACAAGACAGAGTACTCCCCACTCTTGGAATTTACATTCTATAGAAAACAGACGTTAGGCAAATAAGCATAAAATAAGGTTAGAGTGTGGGGAACACCTACTTTAGCTAGCTTAGTCAGGAAAGATCTTTCTGAGGTGCCATTTGAACTGTGCCTGGAGGAAGTGAGGGCATGAGCCTTGTGGATGTCTGCAAGGTGCAGGCAGGAAGACTGCTAGCAGATCTGAAGAACGGCAAGAAGGCTGTGGGCAGGAGTGGAGTGAGGAAGGAATGGTGAGGTTGGAGAGGCAGGCTGGGGAAGGAGGCCGAAAGTCCTGCAGACAGCTCAGGCTGCTGAAAGGGCAAGGATTGGGCAGGAGAGAATCCATGCAAGACTTGCCCTTCCCTCTAAGTCCCAAAGCCAGAAAAGCCCTTTTGTGCAGAGGGTGGGTGTCCTGTTCTGGGTGGAGAAAGGGCTGTGCTTAGTCCTGAGCTCTGCTCTTTGGGAGGGGCAGGAGACTGGACAATAGGGCCCCTTGTGATTGGACTTGGGGGCCAAATGGCTCTCTCAGTGATGAGATTCCTCAGCCAGGAGGCATGTGACCCCAAGACCTCAGCTTCTTGCTACAGGGTCTTGGGAATGGGATGGAGGGAGAGAAGTGGGGAGGGGGCACTTCCCTCTGGAGAGAGTGCTTTGCCCTATGTCGAGCTGGAGGAGGTGGAGGTGGGTGGTAGAGGGAGCAGGGTCTGCTTGGGAGATCTGGGAGAGCAACATCAACAGGTGGCTCCACCCCAGACAGGGAAGGAGGAGCTTCTGCCCCCAGGTCCAGTGGGTGGAGGCTGGCAGAAGACAGCCTGGAAATCCTCTGTCTTGTGTTCCTTCAGAAGAGGAGAAAACATGGAATTGGAGAGGATCGTCAGTGCAGCCCTCCTTTCCTTTGTCCAGGCGCACCTCCCAGAGGCTGACCTCAGGTAAGGGCGGCTCCCCCAGAAGGCCCAATGCCAGGCCCAGGGTTCCAGGCAGTACTCTGGACCCTGGCTGAAGGAAAGATGGGCAGAAACTCCTCAGTTTCTGTTCCTGAGGTGAAGAGGGCTGATTTTGATTTGCTGAGATGGCCTTGCCTCTCATATTGTCCCTGTTACCTTTATTGGACAGATGGAAAACCAAAACTGAGGGAGTAGAGGTGGGGATACTGTCTGGTCTCAAGGACTGAGGTCTGACTCATGGACTCCAGCTAAGGGCTGAACTCTCAAGCTAGGTGGGAGTACTGGAAGTATCCAGTGTCCTACTCAGCACTTGTCCTATCCCCTTTCTGCAGTGGCTTGGATGAGGTCATCTTCTCCTATGTGCTTGGGGTCCTGGAGGACCTGGGCCCCTCAGGCCCATCAGAGGAGAACTTTGATATGGAGGCCTTCACTGAGATGATGGAGGCCTATGTGCCTGGCTTCGCCCACATCCCCAGGTGGGGCCTGGCTGGGACTAACAAGAGAGAGGGCTGCTGGTTGGGGGGTAGTGTGGGCAGAGTGTTCCTCTCACCCCACTTTTTGTCCTTTCAGGAGTACAGTAGGGGACATGATGCAGAAGCTGTCAGTGCAGCTGAGTGATACCAGGAACAAAGGTAAATCTGGGACTCTGGCACTTGGGGGATTCATAACTCACCCCCTAAAACCCTGGCAAGCCTGATGCCCTCTCTGCCTCTTTAAGAGAACCTGCACCCACAGAGCTCCTGTGTCCAAGGTCAGGTGCCCATTTCCCCAGAGTCCTTGCAGCGGCCTGAAACACTCAACGAAGAGACAAGGTCTCCTGCTTCTGCTGCTGGGGACACCCAAGATGAGGTACTGGTAGAGGAGGGCACTGATGAGGGAACTTGGGAGTAGGAAAGGAAGAAATGTGGCCTCTTATCAATGTTTATACCCACAGGCAGCTGGCACCGAGGAAGAGCTGCTGCCAGGGGTGGATGTGCTCCTGGAGGTGTTCCCCACCTGTTCAGTGGAGCAGGCCCAGTGGGTGCTGGCTAAAGCTCGGGGAGACTTAGAAGAAGCTGTGCAGATGCTAGTAGAAGGCAAAGAAGATGGGCCTCCAGGCTGGGATGGCCCTAATCAGGTATGCTCTCACAGCCTTATAGGCTCAACTATGGTCTACCTTGGTGTTAGCCCCCACCCCTCCCTATAACCATCTATTTCCCTTGCTAGTACCATTGGGTCTAACCTAGGTCTCCCCTCTCTGCAGGACCTGCCCAGGCGCCTCCGAGGTCCCCAGAAGGATGAGTTGAAGTCCTTCATCCTTCAGAAGTGAGTCTAGGCTGGGCTGGGCTGGGCTGGGCCGGGCCGGGGCAGGCTGGGCCACAGAGGGTCTTTCCAGGATGGCAGGAACTTCATCCAACCAGTTTTTGGCAGGTACATGATGGTGGATAGCGCAGAGGATCAGAAAATTCACCGACCTATGGTTCCCAAGGAGGTAAGAGGGTTGGATGAGAGTGTGTGGCTGGGGAGGCAGGGGTGGTTCCTGGCTTCTGTGGCTCACTGTCTGATTGCTTGACAGGCCCCCAAGAAGCTGATCCGATACATCGACAACCAGGTAGTGAGCACCAAAGGGGAGCGATTCAAAGATGTGCGGAACCCTGAGGCTGAGGAGATGAAGGCCACATACATCAACCTCAAGCCGGCCAGGAAGTACCGCTTCCACTGAGGCACTCGCTGGACTCTGCCCCAGCCTTTCAGATCTCAGAGGGATGCAGGAGCCCTGTTCCCTGACACAGGGGCCTTCCTTACTCCTGTACCCTTCTTAATCCCTTCTCTACTTCCCTGCTCCATAGTGTTAACTTACTCTTGGAGCTGCCTCCATGGGCACAGTAAAGCTGGCCCAAGGAAGGTATGCGTGCATTCTGGTCATTTCTGTCTCAGGGCTGGGATTCTATGCCTGTTTGACCCTCCCTCACCACCCTCATATCCCATCTCCAACAGGGCAGTACCAGATAAGAGAGGGTAAAAAGCTGTTTATTTGAAGTTTCATGGTGGGACAGGGCACTGGCCTCTCCCTAGAGGTCTCCACAGTTCTGTTTTTGTACAACTCAGTGCCAGGCCCCAGTCACACAGTCCAGCTGTGCTTCCACCGACTGGAGGATCAGTCAGACCTGCAGATTGACAAAGGGTGCGAAGCCTGCCATGTCCTGCAGCAGCACCAGGGCCTGGTGCAGGGGCGGCTCCACGTCGATATCCACGCCGCGCTTCCGCAAGCGGCTCAGGCTAGGCTCGGCCACGTGGTGGCAGTGCCGCACCCGCAGAGACCGCAGGGCCGGGCAGTACTCAGCCAATGTCCTGAGGGAGGAGCGGGGTGAGGCTAGGGAGAAGAGGCCCGCATACCCTTGGTGGGGCCCGGCCCACTCAGGAAATTCAAAATCTCCCTCCAGCTTGGGGCATACTCTGTCCTCCGGACCTAAGGGAAGAGGCCTGAATGGGATCAAACATTGGCAGGCCTTCAGTGAGCTGGAGGCTTTCATTCTCCTCAGCTCCGCCCTGGATTCAGGATTTCCCCCTTGTTGAAGAAATGCCAGAAATCGATTTTCTATGCGAACGCTCCCAATATGTAAATACTGGTTCAAAAGTTTTTTAAACTGGGTTCTCTGACTTAAATAATCCTAGAGGCCTTTCTCTTCACAATCGGGGTGCCGAGGTTAGCAGGAAGGTCCAGAACCCCAGCCGGGCCTTTCAGGACTACAGCCTGTTCCTAGGAAACCGCAGAGGCTGAATGATTCCCCTCCTCCCACCCCACCTTCCCCCCAGGCCCAGGCACCTGACGCCATCGCTTCCCACGCGGAGGCAGCCGGTAAGGTCGAGGTGCTCGAGTTGTGGGCAGTTCCGAGCCAACTCCTGGACCGCAGTATCCCCAACGTTGGCGTTAACTGCCAACGAGAGGCTGCGGAGGCCAGCGCCGCGCCTCTGTGCCAGGTACACGATGGCCTCGTCCTTGAGCTGGCGGCAGGCGGTGAGGTCCAGCTCCTCCAGGGCTGGGCAGCGGTCAGCCAGGCCACGCAGCGCCAACCCGTCCACCCAGTCACAGTGCGCGAGCGACAGGCGCTGCAGCCGGGGACAGCCCTCAGCCAGCGCTCCAAGCGCACGGCGGCTCAGTTGCCCGCAGCCGGCCAGTACCGCGCTCCGCAGTTGCGGATTCCGTGCCAGCACAGGCACCAGGTCCTCGTCCGATAGCCATTCGTGACACGGAGCCAGCGCCAGCTCCTGCAGCCCCTCAGCGTCCCGAAGTAGCTGAGCGAATGCGGCCCGTGGGATCTGCGGGCCCACCTGCGGGCGGGGAGGACACTCGGACTCAACCAGTCCCAGGGGCGGGACTGACCCTACTCATTCACTAGAGTTCTTTTCCTAGCAGTCACCTACCTTGGGGTTTGCCACCTGCCCTCCCAGGAGAGACTCCACGCTCCCGCTAAGTCGTTACCCAGTACTCGCCCTGTGGGAGTACTCCACGCTGCGTGGATCACTTCGCCAGCAGCCCTGGCGGCACTCGGGGGTCGGGAAGGGTTTACGTGGAGCTGGGGGCTGGACTGGAGGAGGGGCTGCGGTGGTACCCAGACGGGGCGGGGCTCCGGTCTCCAGCTCACCTGAGTGGCGTCGAAGCGGCGCAACCCAGCCAGGTGCAGCTGCACTAGCGCCCGGAAGGCCCGGCTAACGCGCTGCAGCCGAAGCAGCTGACGCAGCGGGACCCGGTTCAAGACGTGTGGGAGCAGCACGTCTTCCCACGGCAGGTCCAGGAGCCTGAGGGTAAAGGGGAGTTGGCGTCCCCGGGCCGCTGTTACATGCGAGTCTGCCTCCGTTATGCTTCTGCCGGGGCGGCTCCGAAGAGGGGCCCCTAGGCCCAGCCTGGGCTCAGCTCCCTTCCCCGGGAGTCTCTCCTCCCTCCCTCGGCCCCTCCAATGCTCGGTACCTGACGGCTCCGGGTTCTTGCTCCCCTCCGGACGGCTCCATTGGTGGCTCCATCGGCTATGTACTGCGCGTGCGCAACAAGATCACGCTTTGGGCTTGGAGCTACTGCGGTGAGCCCGCCTACTTGGGCTGTAGAGACAGACCGATTCAATCGAGTGCCGTCTCACTGAGACGCCTATCTAAAGCTATCCGCATGGACCCCGAAACTGAAGCAGAACACACCAATGATATAACATTAAACCTGGCCTTCTCGAAGCCCGAGGCTGGAGAAGCGGTGAGCGAAGACTGGTTTCTGTCTTCGCTGTGGGCCAGTAGTTGCCTCTGAGTGAAATGGTGGGAGTAGCTGGCAAGGCCAAAGGCAGAAGGGGCGGAACCAAGACTCCTAGGTTACCAAGGACCTTTCTGTTCTATTAATGGTCGCTTTTAGCGACTTTGAAAAATGGAAACTGGCATGCAGTAGGTGCTCAATAAGTAATTGGTAGAAGAACGAACAAACGGAGTGAAGTTAGGATTTTTCTTTTCATCAAGCAAACTTACTCAGTCCTCTCATTTCTGGTTAATTGTGAAGTACAGAACTATCTATCCCCTTCCACTTCCGGACACTGTAGGCTGAATTTTTTCTTGAGGAGAGAGATGTAGAGGGCGTTAAGGACTATATATCCAGAGGTGCAGAATACTGAGACGTGTGCTCTGTTCAACCCACCAGTGGTACTGCTTCGTGGCTAGTCTTAGGTAAATTGTAGGATCTAAGGCTGGGCTCGCCATGAAGCAGTGACGCCCCAGAGCTCTGAATTTAGCTACTGTGCTTCCCTTTCACCGCGCCCCAGCCCCAGCCCCAGGGGAGCCCCTGGACAGTTTTCCTTCATCATCCAAGGAGTGGGTATTGGGAAATGTGAAGGACGCGAGAGCCGCTGCCATTACTCGTGGATGTGCTTTCCTTCCGTGTGTGCAATCGCTTCAGCCACTACTTTCTATCCTTTATCTCATTAGGGCTTTGGGCATCTCTGGAAGGTGGGCAGGTCTGTGCTATTACTCCATTTTAAAGATAGGTAAACCGAGGCCCTGGGGAGGAAGCGCTTTGATCAGGATCAGTGCTCGTTTACTCTTCCTCAGCCTGCTTGGGGAAGGGTTAGCAAGGACTAGTGTCTGCAAAGCCATGTGGGCGCGCACCACCTCCAGCCGCGCGCCTCCTCCCCCTCCCCTCTTTGTTCGCGCCTCCGCGCCTGCGCAGTACGGCAAATCTGGCGCTGTCCCCTTCAGCACCACGCGGAACTCGCGCCGCCCCTCCCCGCGGTGAGCCCCGCGCGCCCCCGCCTCGCACTTCCTCGTACCCCCTGACCGCCCGTTCTGACCCCTTCTTACTTATGAGGTCATCACCTTGAGTCCTGGCCTTCCGAAGAAGAGTAGTTGCCATAGTAACTCGGTGTGGCGCTTTCTTAAAATAGCCGGACCCCTTCTACCCTGGCTACGGTCACGGGATTGCCTGTCCCCTCCAGCCTCGGGGTCATCCCATCTAACCTTTTGCCCCTGGACGGACGGGACAACTAACTCAGGCAGCAGCAACTTCTTCCTGAAGTCTGATTTATTCCTCCTGCTGCACCCAGGGTGGGCGATCAGCATTAGGTCTCCTGGTTCTGAGACTCAGAACCCGGAAAGGTTCAAGACGGTGTTCTCTTGATGTGCCTTCCATAGTTGGTCTCCTGGATTTAGGGGGCGGGTCCGGTCTACACCCGTACTGTGTGTTTGCGCGGCCGCGTGCTCGTGGAGGCGGGAGCGCGTGTGGCATGTAACAGGTCATGTGGCAGACTCCTAGGGACACGCGTGGGGTCTGGAGCGGGACACGCGTGTGCAGCTGGGCCCTACGTGTGGTTCAGGATGCAGTGGGCGAGAGGAACCTGGACAGGAATGGGCTGGGGCATGTGAGGATCTGGGGAACAGAACCAGGGGTTCCTTATGTGCTCCCCCTTGTCTGGGCGGGTACTAGATTGGCGGGAGAACCCAGCCGGGACCTAGAGAAGAGGGGGTTGGCAAGCCCTGGGACTCAGGGCTCTGAAAGAGGAGGGAGGTGGGGGATTAGCGTTGCCTGAGCGTGGCGGGCGGCGGGGGGGGGGGGTGTTGGAGGAGGGACTGAGAGGCGGGCGGGCCTGGAGCAAGCTGGAGCCGCGCTGCCTTCACAGCTGAGCAGGGCCCAGCCACTTTGCCTCTCCTCCGTTGCAGCTCCGGAAGAGCAGCGGTGAGTACTGAGGTGATTCTGCACAGGTAATGAGCAGGGCCCCTGTTAAACTGCAAGAAGCTGCCTGGCAGGGTTACTGCTCCTCATCTCTGGCTCCACCCCGCATTGCCACCAGAGGCCTCGTTACCCTCCAGGGCTGGAGGAGATCTGTTGTACCCCTGCGGAGAGGAGGAGAGGAGAGGGCTGTGGTGCAGTCTTAATTAACCCACTCTCCCAGACCTGGTGGTGGGTTGGGGGGAGGGGAGGGTGTATGTCCCTGCTTGAGTGTGTGTAAATGTGCATCTGTATTTGTATGTGATTGTGACCAGTAGCCTCTGTGTCTGATACACCTGTCTCTGTGTGCATTGGAAGATGAGAGTCTGCGTATATATTTGGGTACCTCTTTGTATGTTACTGCTTGGGTGATGGGGTGTGTGTGTGTGTGTGTGTGTGTGTAAAGCAAGCATGTGCCTTTGCATTACACACATATTTGTTATGACTGTGAGAGTGTATGAGGGTGTGTCTTTGAGCAGTATGTGTGTGTATCTGTGTCTGTGTGTACTGGAGGGTGTTACCTATGAATGTGTTCAACTGTGTACTGATATAGTTGTCCTTATAAATGTGTATGAGTGCATGTGTGTCTGTGTTTGTGTGTGTGCATCTGTACCTGTGTGGAGAAAGAATGTCTCTTTCCCATTCAGCATCTGTGTATTGGTGTGTATTGGGGGTAGAGGCCTCTGTTCAGGCATCTCTCCTCACCTCTACCCAGTGCCTCTCAGCCCTTCATTGTCCCTATATAACCCCTGTTCTTCCTCCCTCTCCTTCCAAGAGGCCTGAGTTTCCCCTCCCTGAGCAAGAGGGCCCCATAAAGGGACTATAGAGGATCCAGGGCTGTATGATAATGATGGTTGGCTAACACTCTTGATTCAGAGGGTGGGGTACCAGCCTCTCCCACACCAGAAGTAGCTCCAAATTGCCACAGGGACTCAGCTCACTGAACTTCTGAACTAGCTCCCTCTCTCCTCCTAGGACGATGCTCAGGATCCCCAGATAGAAGGAGAGGAGCCAGGGGTCCACTAGGGTGGACAATCCCTTTCTCCTCAGGCCTCCATGGAAGCAGCCCCCATGGGTAGGATCAGTGATGGCATATTCCCAGCCAGGGCCAGGTCCTTAGAGCTCAGGGGCTCCATCCAGCTTTCCCCTCCATCTCTGCTGTTCTGCCCATCCAACTCTCTGGCACTTTACCCCCTGCTCCCCTTCCTCTCTTTCAGGCCTGTCTGAAGAGCATGCAGCCCTCTCACTCCCCACCTGGCCTCGCCATCCCTGCCCCCCCAGCCTGACCCCCCAGCCCCAGCATGGCCCAGGGTGCCATGCGCTTCTGCTCGGAAGGTGACTGTGCCATCTCCCCACCACGATGTCCTCGCCGCTGGCTCCCAGAAGGCCCAGTGCCCCAAAGTCCCCCAGCCAGCATGTATGGCAGCACAGGCTCTCTGCTTCGACGAGTGGCAGGTCCAGGTTCTCGAGGCCGGGAACTGGGACGTGTGACCGCACCCTGTACACCTCTGCGTGGCCCCCCTTCACCCCGTGTTACTCCCTCACCATGGGCACCCTCTTCACCCACTGAGCAGCCCCCACCAGGGGCCCGGAGCTCTGTGGTCATCTTCCGCTTTGTGGAGAAGGCCAGTGTGAGGCCACTGAATGGGCTACCTGCTCCTGGAGGTTTGAGTCGGAGCTGGGACCTGGGTGGGGTTTCTCCTCCCAGGCCTACCCCAGGCCTTGGGCCCAGCTCCAACCGGAAGTTGCGGCTAGAGGCATCCACATCAGACCCACTCCCAGCTGGAGGAGGCTCTGCCCTTTCTGGTAGCCAGGAACCCTTACGAAGGCCACCAGTCCCACCCCAGGTGGGGGCAGATGGCCTTTACTCCTCTCTACCCAATGGGCTGGGGGGTCCCCCTGAGCACCTGGCCACACTATTCCGAGGACCTGCTGACACTGGATTCCTGAACCAGGTATGCAGCCTGAGTTGGGTTCCTTGGAGCCCTGTGCCCTAATGAAGGGACAAGGCTTAGCTCCCCGTCAGACTTAGGCTTCTCTCCTGTCCACTCCGAAACCTTTGATGTCCTAAATCTCTTTCTTACCCTTCATGTTTGTCCCTGTGTCTCTGCACCTCCATCTCTGCTCTTGTGTGTTTTTATTTCTGTTTCTTTCCCATATTCTTATGTCCTTGTGTATCTGGCTTTATTTCGGGTGCCTGTGCCTCTCTCTCCCTCCTTGGCTCAGGGGGACACCTGGTCCTCCCCACGGGAAGTCTCCTCTCATGCCCAGAGAATTGCTCGAGCCAAATGGGAATTCTTCTATGGCTCCTTGGACCCCCCCAGCTCAGGTAAGACTTGGGGGACTGAGGCCAGGGGAAGAGGGCAGGGCTTTCCCCACAGCAACTGAGGAATGGTAGGGAGGCTTCCTTCTAAATTTCCCTATCCTTTCCTGGCTCCTAAGTCAGCCAAAGACCCTCCAGCCCTCAATCTTCCCATCTGTGTCATGCTGGGGACTGGATAGGGACTGAGCTGGACACCTGGAGGAAGTTGGTTGGTGGAGGGAGGGCATGGCAGGATATTAGGGGTCACTCCTTGTAGTAGAAGAGAAGCTGGTCTTTTTCAGGCTTCTCAAAACTGACAAAAAGTTGGGTTTGAAATGAGTTCCGTTGGCATCAGGATCAAGTGAAGGTTGTGGCAGGAAGAATGGTGGCTAGACAGTGAGAGAACTTCCTGCCAATATGAGTTCTGAGCAGGATCAGGACAGGGGGCCAACATGGATAACTTCCTGACCTGGATGCCTATGCATATACTACAGGTGCTAAGCCCCCAGAGCAGGCCCCCCCATCTCCACGTGGGGTAGGCTCTGGGCAGGGCTCTGGGG